ACTGGTGGGCCTGGTGCGGTTCCTGGGCTGTACTGCCAGTGGCGCCATGTCCAGCGCAGCTGCATGGCTGCGACCACCAGACCCAGCACAGAACCCTTGGCTGTGTGGCTGCAGCCACCAGGCCCAGTACAGAGCCCCAGACTGTGCAGCTACTGCCACCAGGCCCAGTGTGGAGCTTCAGGCTGTGCAGCCACCGCTGCTGGACCCAGTGTGGCTCCCTGCTGCCACCACTGCCTTGCGCAGAGAATGCTACTTTACTTTTGGGGGGATTTAAACCCCCGTGTATATTTTTGACATTTTCATATTTTTCTTGGGGAGTCCCCCAAGTTTGCTGAAAAATCCATTTTGCATCCATGTGGCCCCGATCTGCGGATTTAAGTATCCACAGATGGGGGCCATGCATCGCTAATGGTACACGGCTAGATATAGACATAAATAAAAACAGCAGTCATATATATATTATTTCTGCAGAAACACATCAGTCTGTACTTCTTTCATGGCCTTTTGACTCCACAGTTTTATCATTTCCACCCTCTATATTCACACACAACTGCAGCTGCCAGTTGAAAGCATACTTCATACCTCTAGTGCAGAAAAATTTATGCCACAGCCACAAGTCCTTTTTCTTTCTTTTTGCTGCAACAGACTAACCCAGCTACATCTTTAGACTTTATCTTGTATGAGACAACTATCACTTATTGTTAGTTCTATTTGTTACAGGGTTTTAAGGATAATTCCCCATGAACTTTTTGAAACACTGCATTTTTTACCATGCCCCCTTTACGTGGGTCTTAAAGAAGTTCCCAAGGGAGGGGGAGAATTCCAATACTTTTGTGAAGTTTACAGTATAGATTCTTGCAGATCTGCCACTGTGCTCAGTGTACTGGGCATTGCTTCTTCAAAATCTTAGTGAAAATAACAGGATTTGTTTCCTAAATGGTGATGCTAAGAGTCAGTTCATGAGAGAGCAGCAGAATAAAATACTTTTTCCCTACCCTACAGATGTTTTTGCTCTTGCACTGGCCGTTAAAGAGATGTGCATAGCAACACGCAAAGCACGTACTATTCTGTGGTGTGCTCTCCAGATGACCTTGCCAAAAACAACCCCTCCATCCGGACCAGTGGATATGGAGAAAGCTTTTCAAGAGATAATCCAGCCAGAAGATAAGTTGTATGAACAGTTTAATAGTGGCCATCCTGTGATCCATAGAGGAGAAACCAAAAAACACTGAGGAAAAGTAGAGAGACTCAACATGGATGTACTGTCATCCTGTACTAAACATTTTAAATGAACAAAGCTTTTCTTCCACATTTTAAGTAACAAGAGAACACGAACAGAAGTTTGCCTACTCTAATTCCAGCCACTGTCTGAAGAGTAGCTGTTAACATTAGACAAAAAGCGTATGATGTTAACAGCTGTCAGAATCAAAATACTGATGAGGCAGAATTAATGTGTTAGGTTAAATAAATCAAAATATTTTTAACTGCCAAAATAGAATGTAAAGTTCTTCTAGGTTTCATTAGCAAATCTGTGTTCAAATAATGAATTTGAATTACTGTAGCCTACTTCTGGCTGCAGTCTAGTAATAGACAAATTTTGATTGTGATAAAAAACCGTTTTCTTGTAGACTATGCATATTATCTGGAAACGGGAAGAAGACACACCTAAACAAACCCAATATGAACGTTAAAAACATAAAAATATTTAAAGTATTTATTTATGGATTTGAAGTTTTAGGAATATAAATTTAAGTAAAGAAATTGACCAGATTAAGAATATAAAGAAAAGAAATTGACCAAATTTTCTTAAATTAGTGATATTATCATAAAGCCACTATCCAACCATGCATGTTCAGAATATTAAAAAAACACCCTCTGAAATCATTTTTGTCTATTCTTTTAAATAAAATATTCTCTGTTTAATATTAAAAGTAATCAAAATTACTTAGCAGTTGCATGCAAATGAAATAATGAGAGTTATTTTAATACCCTTGGTTTACTATTTTTAAGGAGGGTATCAGGAAGTTATGAGGTGCACTTTCTTTAAAGTTACTCCTTAGCCGGTTTGGTTTAAGATTGTTTGGTGTATATTTTGTTATCTTCATTTGCTTCTGCATTCTTTAGCACTGTTGAATGCTTGGGGTTTTTTCCATGTTTTTCAACTCTTAGTAATCTTTTTATTAAATGCAAGTTATTTATTCAATTAATATGTTGATATTATGTGGCTCAGGAGATCTTGGGTTTTAACAATCTAGCATAAACTATATAATGTCTGGATAAAATTTACTGTCCTGCTCTTGGCTAGGTACATTGCTATTTTAAATGTGCATTCTTCCAGCTTTTAGAAATCCTGGTATGCTGAAATGTGTAATCAAACCACATAAATTGCTGTAGATGATGTAAGGAACTGATTGAGATTTCAGGAGAAACTGTAGGGAAGAATTTTGATCATTGATGGAACTTTGCCTCTGGCTGTAGACTCTTACCACCGTAGCCACTGAGCAAAGATGGGTTGCGTTTGACATTGAAATATGTTGTGTTTTGAAAATAAAATATTGTACTAACTTCAGTCTCTCTCCTAATAAACGGGCTTTTGTTGCACAAGTTGGTATGATTCTCTGTATTTGACGTCAAGATTTTGACTTATGATGCATTTAATGCCTGGGGCCCTACATAGCTGAGATAACCTTTCTGTGGGTGCACTGTTACCAGTGTACTTTATCTGTGCCAGTTGCAAGATAGGCAGGTACCAAGATTATGCCCTACAATTACGGGTTTCCTTCCTTTGGAAGACTTGGCAAAATGTGATCTGAGGGTCTGTCTACACATTGCAAAGGCCTCATGTTTGTTGGGGAACAATACAAGGACTCTGTATCAGTTACGTGATAGTTTTGTTGCCTGTGAGCAACCACAACCTGCAGGGAGAAGCGGCTGTAGCGCGTGCGGCCCCCGCCCCCCTTGTGCCCTCAAGTATTCCCATGGAACTGCTGTTTTAAGATCCTTCTCTGCTGCAGTACATAACCCACTTTTCTTTGAAAAGGGTTACTGTGATGCAACAAAGGGAGAGTAATCCTGATTTTCCAGTGCTGAGTTTTCCTTCCAATTCCTTGCATGACACACTTTACCTGAAAGCAGCTTCCCTTGATGTTAGGCTTTTCCATGTGGCTCGACTTGCTCCCGATTTTCCTGGGAGTCAATCCATAAGCATCAGAATGGGTTTGGGCCTGGTTCTTCCGTACATCTGCCCACCCTCTGCATTTCCATAGTTGTGGACTCAGTTTATTTTCTTCCACACCTCCCTCAAATAATCAGGACTTTCCAGGGAAGGTGATGTCATCAGTGACATCACAGCACCCCTTTTTATCAATATACTGATGCAACTGTAGGTCGAGCAGGTTATCTGAATTCCCAAGTTTCATTAAAAAAAACAAAACCCACCCAAGTCTCTAGTGTCCTCCCTTATGGAAAAACGCCTTTTCCCAAATACACAAGTCCACCTACTGCTATTCTGCTCAGGACTCAGTTAAGGAGCCAGTTTTCGGTATAAGAGCTAACCAAAACAGTGCTACTCCCAGTATTCCACCCCCCTTCAATTCTATCCAGCGACAGCTGCAGAATCATTCCCAAAATAAACTTCTACAGAGCAATTCCCAAAATAAACGGAGCTGGCCTGGTAGGAACTTCAGCTGCCTCAGGAAGAGCCCTGGATCTGTATCCTGGAGAGGTAACCAGCACTACTGAGCAGTGTTCCCTCTAAGCTGAGTTAGTGTGAGCTAGCTCACAGTTTTTTAGCCTCCCCGGCTCACAGATTTTTGTCTTAGCTCAGGAAGGAGGGCTCCAGAGCAAACTAATTGATGCAGGAGCCAAATCGCTCGCTCACAACTTTAATGCCAGTAGCTCACAAAGTCGAATTTCTGCTCACAAGACTCCACAGCTTAGAGGGAGCATATTGCTCCTGAGATGGGGAGATTTTAAAATGGCCTGGCCACACATCCCTCCCACCCTCACCATTGCTGACAGCACCAGCACAGGGTCATTGCATCACTCAGATTCCCCAGTGGGGTGGATGTTATTACAGAACTATTACTACTTTACACAGAGTGATTAAAATGTGGAATTTGCTGCCAGCGGATGTTGTGATGGCCACAGGAATAAACAGCTTTAAAAGGGGACTAGATAAAAGTCATGGAGAATTAGTCTATCAATAGCTACTAGCCATGGTGACTGAGGGGAACCTCCACATTCAGAAGCACGAAACCCTCTGAATCCCAGCCGGGAGGTAACATCAGGGGAAGGCCTCGGCCTCTCGGCCCTGTTGTCGGCCATCCAGAGGAACTGGCTGGCCACTGTGTGAGACAGGATGCTGGACTAGATGGACTATAGCTCTGATCCAGCAGGGCTGTTCTTATGTTGTTGTGCCCAGCTGGCACTAAAAGCTGAGCAAGGTATCAATTTAAGCAGATCCTTATTCTGAACTAGTAACCAGCATTATTATTTCTGCTTTTTAGAACCTCAGTTGAGGCTCAACAGTCTTTCAAACAATTTTTCAGGCTTGCTGTTTGCGAGAAAAAAACGTGGTCTGTTGTCTCTTCCACATGTGGTTTCTCTCACTGGCTCTCACTGCTTTGAGAGGACAGAAAGCCAAGCACTGCTTGAGCCCCAAAAGCCTTTCCTCGGAGCTGTGATCTCTGGCTGACCCCCTCCATCTGTGAGCTGTGCCCCTTTCCCTTCAGCCCCTGGCGTTGCTGCCCCTCGGATCACTACCTCCGGAGAACCTCTGGCCCACAGGCAAGCAGCACCGTCTCCCCAGTTCCAACGGAACCACCCTGCAGGGCCCCTCTCTGGTGTGGGACCCGGAGCCTTTTGCAGTGGACAGCTTTGCTTGGGATGCTGTGAGCCAATCGGTAGCAGAGCACCCCACCCCCACCCCATGCCGCATTATTAGGACTCTTCCACGGGTGAGATTCAAGCATGCTTCAGGCTACCTAAGTTCATAGATGTTTACTTAGACATCAATAATCAAGGCTGGTGGACGTCACCCAGATTTTCTCGCCCCATCCCCACAAGAAGAAAAGTCTGGATTGCTTTTTTGGTGGCTGAGGGTCGAGTCAGGTGCCCTTGGCTCTGAAGTCAACTTCAAAATGTCTCCCTGGCTTTTGCGCAGTGGAAATGGGTTTTTTTTTTCTTCACAGCTCCAAAGCAGCTGCTGGCCACAGAGAACATTTCAAGCTTTCCCCCCCTCACCTTTACGCTTTCTCTTGAAGTGGGTAATATAAATAGAAAAAAAGGGAGGGGGAATGTTGCCACCCTACAATTCTTTGGTTACAGACGTTGCCACGACCAGTCAGCCTAATACCTGGACAGCAAAAGGTGTACACATGGTTTTTCTTTCAGTGATCCAAGCGAAACAGAAGCAGTCACTGATTCTTGCCTAGGGAGCCAGTTCCTGCTTTGTAATCCTATGGCCAAGCTTGCAAGGGGGCTCCTTCTGCTGAGCGGGGAAGAAGTGAGTGGAGAGTGGGTGATATGGCGGCATCTGGCCCATGCTGCGCCGAGCACTCGATTGGGGGGGTGGCTGCCCAGCAGTACAGGGAGGAGAATGGCAACTCTGCCCGGCTACCGCTTCCTCTCCCCTTTCTGTGTTCTCTTCTTCTCCTTCTCTTTGCGCTCCTGCTTGGCCAGCTTGTCTTTCTCGCGCTGGAGCTTGTCTTGCTCTTTCTTCCGCTGCGACTCATCCCGCAAGTGCTCCTTCTCCAGCTTCCGGGCACTGACGACGTCTACAAGGTTGGTGTTTTTGAACAAGGCTGATGGGAAGGAAGTTGAGGAGAACAAGGAACTTGACGGCCACACTTTCAAAACACCCTCTCTGGGAGAAACACTTTCAAAACACCCTGTCTTCCACAACACACCTGAACAGGGCGGGAGAGCTAGAAAAGCTGAGCACCTTTGCTTGGCACATTTCTTTCCTGCCTCAGCCTAGGGGAGGTAGCGCCAACCTTGGCGTATGAGGCTTCTGATACTGGCTAGCTTAAGTATTCTTTTTCTCAAGGATCGGTTGCGAATCTCAATGTTCCCTCTAAGCTGAGTTAGTGTGAGCTAGCTCACAGTTTTCTAGCCTCCAGCTCACACATTTTTGTCTCAGCTCAGGAAGGAGGGCTCCAGAGCAAACTGCTTTCTGCAGTAGCCAAATTGCTTGCTCACAACTTGAATGGCAGTGGCTCACAAAGTAGAATTTTTGCTCACAAGTCTCCACAGCTTAGAGGGAACACTGGTTGGGATCAGTGTTCCCTCTAAGCTGAGTTAGTGTGAGCTAGCTCACAGAATTTTAGCCTCCAGCTCACAGATTTTCTTCTTAGCTTAGGGAGGATGACTCCAGAGCAAGCTAATTTATGCAGTAGCCAAATCATTCGCTCACAACTTTAATGCCAGCAGCTCACAAAGTAGAAATTTTGCTCACAAGTCTCCACAGCTTAGAGGGAACACTGGTTGGGATTACTGATTTTTCTTCTGTAAACCACCTTGAGTATTTTTTCTTAAACAAATGAGGCAGGATGTACATTTTTCTATACAAGATAAGCCTACACGGGGCTTTTCGAAGGAGAAACCCCAACAGTGGAGCCGTTCACACAATATAAGGGAATTCTATGCATTACTTGTTGCCATTGCTGCATGGGGGGTTTCTGCCTGGAGATCTCCCAGAATCACAACTGTTCTCCAGACCGCAGAGGTCAGTTCCCTGGAGAAAATGGCTGCTTTGAAGGGTGGGCTCTAAGACATTATATTGTGCTGAGGTCCATCACCTCCCCCAAACCCGCCCTCTCAGGCTGTACCCCCAAATCTCCAGGAATTTCCCAACATGAAGCTGGCAACTCCACTGCCGCATGATCTAAAGCTGCCCATCCAATTGATCTCATTTGTAAAAGTGTGAAACAGGCAAGATCGTTCATGCAAAAGGGTACCGCACCTCATAAGCTCTTCCACAAGCACCACAAGAGGGAAGGAGATTCCCAGCCTCTCAAAAAAACAACAACCCTGGCAGAGGTCCCACACGATGCGAAGACCAAGCCCTACGGACAGGAGGCGGCTGTGGGGGGTAGTCCTCCTTCCCCCCCATGATGCCATTTTCCCTCTCAAGTCAAATCTCCCTCCTGACCTTACTGACTGTGCATGGCTTCAGGAAAGCAGTCCAGAAAGGATACATTTTTCAGAGCTGATGGTCATTGCTGCCGCCGCTGCCCCAGAACCATCTTGAACGTCAGCCTCGGTGGGGTGAGTTAAGGACATGCAATGACTACTTTGATTACATGGGATAAAGAATGCTTGTAATAGGAAGGAGACTTCCCAATAGGGATGGGCAACATGCCTACAGCCCTCGGGGAAGGTGTGCAGGGGCGTGAGGTCCTCCGTTCTGCCCGTGGGGGGGGTGTATCTGCCATGTCTTGCATCACCCTGGGCCTCAGACCAGGAGGGAACGCAGCCGACAGGCACCCTGCTTCTCTTCCTGCCACTGGCTTCTATCCCGCCCAGCCACATCCTGCCTGATCTAAGTCTAAGTCTACAGCTGAACAAAAAACCCGTCGGCTGCAAACGTGTGCGACTTAAAAAGATTTATATGTTGTCCTGCCTTACCCCCTATGAATCATTGTTAGTCCCTTGTTAATATGTGTAACCAGGGGTTATGTCATAGAAAAAGAGGTACAGGAGCTCATTAGCATAACTTATTTGCATATGTCACACCACCTGACATCACCGAAAGTGTGTCAGAAGGCAACACCCACCGCTCCGGCTTCACTGGACTGTTTTGGATTGCTAGCTATTTTGGGCGGGGGGGACGTGCAGATCTGTCCTCACAGAGGAGGGAGAGCTTGTACCTGAATAAAACTTGGTCTTAAAGGTGCCACTGGACTGTTTTGGACCGGGGGGGCGGGGGGAGCTCTGCAATTTACCTGGCTGGTTCTTGCTCTGACTGAGGGCTACCAGGATCAGGGGGCGGGGCTTGTTGCATGTGCCCACCCCCCTGGGCTCTTTACTGCCGGAGCGCCACTCCTGTGCGCTCCTGCAGGAAATGACCCCTGTGTGTAACTGTAAATCGCTCAGAGCCAGCAGCTCTGCAGGATCGAGCGATTACTAAATCAAAAGATATTATTATTATCTCCTCCCAACCCCTTTTGCAGGAGATGTTCCACGCCACACACGCTCTTCGTTCACCCCTCAAAGGGAACTGCTGCCTGCTCGGCCACCCAAACACAATCCCAGACGTAAGGATCGCGAAACCAAATGGGGAACCAAAGTTCTGTCCTCCCACACCTGGCTCTGGGAACATTCAGGGCACTTCTTTGCAGGCTTTCCAAAATCCATTTACAACTTCAAGCAGGCAACCAGCTTTGTCTAGCACTATGAACATGGAAGGCCCTTTCCCCAGCCATCACCGATAGTCCATGAAGGTATCTAGTCCTTTTTTTTTAAAGTCATCTATGCGAGCAACCAGCATGACGTCTTGTTCTGGGATCATTGATCTTCCGGTGACGTCACCCTACCTGAGAGCGACTAGGCTGTAACCTTTTTTGGTCCTCGCCCAGAATTCAGCTTGCCCCTCAGACTCATTACGTACACTGCCTGGGGCCAATGAACCACGCCTTTCCCTTGTATGCTCTTCATTTGAGAGCCCCTGGGAAACTGAGACCTCGCGCTATGAACCTGCACGCTCACCGAGCTCCCTCAGGCCCGCGGGACGAAGGGGGCTTTGTGCAAACAGGAAAGCCCCGCATTTCAGGCTGTGTTGCGGTATCCATTCTGAAACACAAAAGGAGACAAGAGACTGGCCGAGGACTTCAGCCCCAGGGACAACCCAGCCGTCACACAAAAGCCGAAGAGGATTTCGGAATTTTTGGCATAAAAAGGATATTCTTCTTCATCGGTCACCTCTGCATACTGGGCTAGGAGGGCAGCTTTCCGGAGGGTCTCCTCCTTTGAGACCTCCTTGGGCTTCACCACAATCTGTGCCTGTTTCTCAATCATGCTGGCAATGGCCTGGATCTCGTCTGCAGGGGGAGAGGAGAGAGTCAAACCAGGGAGATGCATAAGCAAGACCACCAAACGGGGGGCCTGCATCAGTCCCTCCACAAGCACAACCGGCATTTCCTGTAAAGCTCAACCTCGGAGGCTTGATGATGATGTCACGGCACTGCCAAAACACTAAGATTACTTGGATTGAGGGGAAAGGGGACAGACTAGTTTGCAGGAGAGAAAGAAGGGGTTGCTTCTATTTTAAGCCAAGGACTCATTGTTTAGAACCAATGTTAAAAGAGTTAAACATTTAAACCAAACTCTAAAATATCATTTCCCCCCATTCACCCCCCAAGTACAAATGCTCACAGGGTCCCTCAGCAGAGGGAAAAGACCCTACAAAAAGCCTTCTGGTTTGGGGGGTTGTAATGAAAAGGGAAACTGAGCAATGTCGCCGCTCCTCCCGTCAGCAGGCTACAACCAGTGTTCCCTCTAAGCTGAGTTAGTGTGAGCGGTGGTTTTTTAGCCTCTGGCTCACACATTTTTCTCTTAGCTCAGGAAGGAGGGCCTCCAGAGCAAACGGATTTATGCAGTAGCCAAATCGCTCGCTCACAACTTTAACGCCAGTAGCTCACAAAGTATAATTTTTGCTCACAAGACTCCAAGGCTTAGAGGGAGCATTGGCTACAACCCATTAAGGTGGATAGTTCTATCACAGTAGTTTCCAATTTGTAGATGACACAGTACAGACAAAAAGACCTTTCTTCAGAAGAGTCTGCACACCATGCAGGAGGGCGTATACTTTGGCTAGATGCTCTGCCTTACCTACTGCAGTTCTTGAGGGTAAATTCAAAAAACTTCCCCGAATTGAGAGGTTATGTATGTGTGCGTCGGGGGAGATCGAATCCCAGGAACATGTGTTCCTGAGGTGCTCATTATTTGACGAGGCTCGTACAAAACTTATTGATCCTTTTTTGGCTGGCACTTCAGATCAAGATAAGATAGAGAATTTGTTTTCTAACTTTGAACATATAGCGCTCCATCAGATTGCGAAATTTTGCTCCTTGGTTGTAAAAGCTCATCAGTGTTCTGCTTGTCACTTGGGTTAGGACTGCTTGATTTTAACTTCTACTGCTACTTTTGTCATTTTTATTTTATTCTTTTTTACTGTGCTTTATTGCAGCGTATTCTTAAGTCTGGTTTTAGTGATCAAAACGATTGTACAGTGCTGTCCCTTATTAACCTTGTTGTACTCTGGAAGTTTTACCATCTGGCTATTGTAAGTTACTTTTATGGTTTTTATATTGCTGGCTATGCGCTGTAACAATAAAATTCATTCATTCCATGCATCATACGGCTTTTTATAGAGCTTCTGATGGAAGTTCTTGACAATATTTTACACTTAAACCATGAAGGAGAAAACCATGCATCTTATATCTGACACAGAGAAACATTTAACACATACAATGGCTATCTGTGTGGGTGGCCTAAAGAATGAGGCACGACTGTTCCTTCCGAGGTTTCTCGCACACTCCCTGTACTCACTGGAACTGTCAAAACCCACCCTGGTTAGAAACAAAGCCTCACCTTTGACTCCTTGATCCCCCTCACTCCACTCACTGTCTACCCAGTCAGATGGCTTCTCCTCACGCGACATCTCAAACTTGCGTCCTTGCCCCTCTGCCTCCTTTGCAAAAGCTCTGGTTCCCAGTCTTCAGTCATCTTCTGCCTCGCCCACTGCAATGTTCTCCTTTCTGGCCTTTTTGGCATTCTTGTCCAGAAGTCAGTCACCATATTATTTCACTCTTTTTCTCATATGGACCACATGGTGCCTCTCTTTCAGTCCTTTCCTGTTCAATCCTGGATCTGGCATAAAATACTTCTTATATCCCAAAGCATCCCTCTGCCCATAACCTTTGCACCCGCTACTTCACCACCCTTGGCCATTCAAACGTCTGCTGCTCCCTTAGACAACTCAGTCTTAAGAGAACATAAGAACATAAGAGATGCCAATGTTGGATCAGGCCAAAGGCCCATCCAGTCCAACACCCTGTATCACACAGTGGCCAGAAATACCAGTGCCATCAGAAGGTCCACCAGTGGGGCCAGGACATTAGAAGCCATCCCACTGTTGACCCCCCCAAGCACCAAGATGACAGAGCATCCCTTGCCCCAGAGTCCCTATCTATACCTTGTGGCTAATAGCCACTGATGGACCTCTGCTCCATATGCTTATCTAATTCCCTCTTGAAGCCTTCCATGCTTGTAGCCGCCACCACTTCCTGTGGCAGTGAAAGTGAATTCCAAATCACTCTTTGGGTGAAGAAGGACTTCCTTTTATCCGTTCTAACCCGACCGCTCAGCAATTTCATGGAGTGCCCACGAGTTCTTGTATTGTGAGAAAGGGAGAAAAGTACCTCTTTCTCTACCTGCTCTTTCCCATGCATAATAAACCTCAATCATGTCACCCCTCAGTCGTCGTTTCTCCAAGTCTTCCTCACTTCCTGCCCTTCCTTCCAGAAACATCCTCTCCCCCCCACCCAACACATGAACAGTAAGTTTATAACAGATAAAAGGAAGCATTTCTTCACCCCCAAAGTAATGAACATGTGGAATTCACTGCTGCAAGAAGTGGTGGTGGATACAAGCATAGGCAGCTTCAAGAGGGGACTGGATCAACGCATGGAGCAGAGGTCCATCAGTGGCTATTAGCCACAAGGTATAGATGGAACACTGTCTGGGGCAGTGATGCTCTGTATTCTTGGGGGACCACAGTGGGAGGGCTTCTGGAGTTCTGGGCCCACTGGTGAACCTCCTGATGGTACCTGGGTTTTGGCCGCTGTGTGACACAGAGTGTTAGACTGGATGGGCCATTCCAACATGGCTTCTCTTATGTTCTACATGACACTGCGTAAATCCATCCTCAAAACACGTCCTTTCCATGGATCCAGAAATGTTTGAGAGAAGGGATCTCAAAAAGAGCTCAGCTGCCTTGATAAATAAGAGAGGCCAGCTGTCCCAGAAAACAGATGCAAGAAAGTAGAAGTGTGAGGAGGGAAATAGCAGAAGACGGAACAGGAAATATGGACTTTGTTGGCCAGAAGCGTGAAAACAACACTGAAATCAATCACCAACCATGACAGCGATGTCGAAAGGAGTGACATGAAATACCTTCTTTCTTCTCTTTGGTTCCAACATCCTGGGTCTCTGACCACCTTTTTACTATTTCACTGCAAACCTGTTGCAGCACATCTTCATCCTGATTAAGAGGAGAAAGATTTTTTTTCCAGTTGAAAGAGAACAGTTCGCCCAACGATGAAAAGACTGAGCTCTTAGACACTCCTATGGGGCCTGCCAGCCAATCTCCCTAAGTCCTGTGGCAATACCTATGTTGAGCAAAGAGAAAACAGGGCTGCATGTTCTGTTATGAGGAAACCAAAGGTGGTCCTCAGGTGTGCCACTCTTGAGTGCTGTATCACACTTCTTGATTTTGTCTATAACATTCACGAAAAGGTAAGTACTCATATTTATACATAAGACTGTGGCTTAGCAAAGATGTTCTCTAATAAAGTTGGCACCTTCTAGCCCTTAATCTTAGAGGGTGATAACTTTATTAAAGAGCCTAATCAAAGATTTTTTTCTATTAAATTTCAAATAATAAAACTGATGATGCGTTGGTATTACCCTCCCACCAGGTTGCACTGTATTTACGCTTCTGTAAGCCTGTGCTGCGATAAAAAATAAGGCCAAAGAGCTGATTATCTTCACTGCTGGTGGTCGTGCCCTGTTTTACAAAGGTTCTGGAGTCAGATTAAGGATCACATATTTCAAATAACAAAGTTTTCCTTGACAGTTACCCCAGAGATGTTTTTATTAGAACTGGGACTTGATGGTATAGCAAATGAATCACAGTCTGAATTAATTTCAATATTGCTGTCTATAGTGAGAACCGCAGTAGCAGCAAACTTGAAAAATTAGTTACCTCTATCAATCATAGTATACTCAAATATGGTCATATTTTGTATTATCTAAAATAACAGTGCACTTGGCAATCCCTTTTTCAGGAAGAAAGGATCATAATTTTGTCAGTGTTTGGTATCCTGTTACAATTTCTGTCAGAAAAAAAGATATTTTACCTTCTGGATCCTGGTATAGAGATATGCTTATATTTTAAATGATGAAAACTATGTTTACAGACGTTTGAAGAATGGCAACATTATAAAGATTTTGTGAATTTACGATTTTATATATATATATATTGTATTAGGATTTCAGTATTTATTGTAATATTTTTGTTTATCTGTCTTTTTGAGTTATTTCATCTTCCTTTGAGCCAGTCTGGTGTAGTGGTTAAGTGCGCGGACTCTAATCTGGGAGAACCGGGTTTGATTCCCCACTCCTCCACTTGCAGCAGCTGGATGACCTTGGGCAAGCCATAGTTCTGACAAGAGCCGTCCTTGAAAAAGAGCAGTTCCTGTCAGAGCTCTCCCAGCCCCACCTACCGCACAGGGTGTCTGGTTGTGGGGAGGGGAAGAGAAGAAGAAATTGGATTTATACCCCAAGCGTCACTACCCAAAGGTGTCTCAGAGCGGTTTACAACCACCTTTCCCTTCCCCTCCCAACAGACACCCTGTGAGGTAGGTGGGGCTGGGAGAGCTCTTGACAGAAACTGCTCTTATCAAGGACAGCTCTTATCAGAACTACAGCTTACCCAAGGTCATCCAGGCAAGTGCAAGTGGAGGAGGGGGGTATGAAACCCGGTTCTCCCAGATTAGAGTCCGCGCAAGACTCCGAGTGAAGGGCGGGGTATAAATTCAATCTCTTCTTCTTGTTTTTATAACATGTAAAATTTTGAATTTTTAATAAAGCATTAATTTTTTTAAAAGAGCCTACTTATTCACTGAAGGGACCAAAGTGTGCAACAGACACATCTCCCACCCCACAGCCTGGAGAAAACAAAGGAATTTGTCCTCCTTGCTCCCTAGACTGAACAGGAAGCACCCAAGTAATGGACGTAATTCCTGACAAAAGACAGTACTCGTTTTTTAAAAACTACAAGACCTGACAGTTACAGTGCAGAACCACATCCTATGAAATGTATTACAGCTGATATTAGCATGTGTGGCTTTTTAAAAGGAAAATATAGGAAAGAGGCTATGATCCTGAGCACATTTATGAGACAGTAAAATCCCATTGAACCTGGCTGGACTTTTGCATAACCATGCCCAGGAGAGCCATGCTGTTAAAACATCACGGGTTGATAATAAGGGGACATCCAAAGACAGCAGAGCTGCACTTAGCAGGGTAGATTTCTGTCATCAAGCCCTGCAGGGCAAAAGACCATCTCAGACAGGTCATGTTGCTGATGGGAGGGCCTGTGTGTGTGTGTTTTTGTATGAGTGAGAGAGAAGCTCAAAGGATCACGTAGTGAAGTCATGCCAGATGACATTTCAACTAGGGACTTTCTGACTCAACATTCTGCATCTTAGCCACTGTGTTACACAAGACACTAGTTACTTCCAAGCCTTTACAACAAACTGAGAAACCTATGTGTTCAAAATGCATATATGCATTCAAAATGCATAAATACTTCACTTTTTAAAAAAGCAACTTAAGAGACAACATGATTGCTACCTACAAAATTACACGTGGTATGCTGAAAGCAAACATACTTTCTTTTCTCCCTGTCCCACAACACTAGAATTCAGGAGACAGATAAAGATGGGTAGCTGTGTTTGTCTGTAGCAGTAGAACAGAGGAGTTCAGCAGTACCTTAAAGACTAATACAATTTGGGGCAGGGCATAAGCTAGAACTCAGGGTTACCTTCTCAGCATACTGGGGACAAACAAAAAGTAGTCTTAACCAATGTTCCCTCTAAGCTGTGGAATCTTGTGAGCAAAAATTCTACTTTGTGAGTTCCTGGCATTAAAGTTCTGAGTGAGCGATTTGGCTACTGCATAAATTAATTTGCTCTGGAGCCATCCTGCTTGAGTTAAGACAAAAACCTGTGAGCCAGAGGCTAATAAACTATGAGCTAGCTCACACCAACTCATCTTAGAGGGAACACTGGTTAACTCACACAGTGGGCAGTTGCAGCTGATGAAGAGAGCTGTGTTTCTCGAAAGTTTATGCTACAATAAAGTTTGTTAGTTAAAGTTCTGCTGGGCTTTTTACTATTAAATGGGCAGTTAGCGTGTAGCAGAGTGTTCCCCCAGATGCAGGAGTATAGCTTAAAAAGGTAAAGGTTCCCTTGCAAGAAAGCCAGTTGAATCCGACTCCTCTCTGTTTCAAAGCCGAAGCGCCAGCGCTGTCCGAAGACATTTCCGTGGTCATGTGGCCGGCATGACTAAACACCAAGGCGCACGGAACACTGTTACCTTCCCACCGAAGTGGTACCTATTTATCTACTTGCAATTTCTTGCTTTCGAACTGCTAGTTGGCAGGAGCTGGAACTAGAGACGGGAGCTCACTCTGTCAGTGGCTAACAGCATCACCACGTGCAGAGGCAAGGACCCTCTTAAACCCAGAAACTAAAATTCAGGTTAGCCCTGTTGGCCTGAACCAGGAGGACAAAGTTTGAGTCTGGGGCGCCTAGGTAAAGCTAAAGGTTCCCTTGCTCGAAAGCCAGTCGAGTCTGACCTCCTCTCTGTTTCCAAGCCGAAGAGCCAGCGCTGTCCGAAGACGTTTCCGTGGTCATGTGGCCGGCATGACTAAACACCAAGGTGCACGGAACGCTGTTCCCTTCCCACCGAAGTGGTCCCTCTTTATCTACTTGCAATGTCTTGCTTTCGAACTGCTAGGCTGGCAGGGGCGCCTACGAGACCAATAAAGTCAGTCTGGGTACGAGCCTGCACACGAAAGCTTGTCCCCAGGATTAAACTTCGTTGGTCTTAAAAGGTGCCCCGCCTGGACTCGAACTCTGGTCCTCCAAACCCCCGTCACTGAGTCGCAACCACAAGGCTCTCTGCTGCCTGCCCCCTGCTCGTGGGTTTCTCTGGGCTGCCTGACTGGAAACAGGATGCTGGACCACGAAGCTCGGTCGCCTGACCCAACACGTGGCTGCTCCTTCATTTGGCATATAAAATAGTTAAGAAAATATTGGGGGGGGGGGGGGG